TGTGGATGGGAGCACTTACTTGCTCTGATAGTTCAGTTGTCATGCGCAGAGCAAAGCAAGTTATATAATTTATTATTACCCACAATTGTAAACCATTAAAAGCACACTGACATCACTGACTGTTGTTATTCTCACTCTTACTCAACATGTTCTCTTCTTGATCTTGTCTGAGCATACCAGCAATACAATTTAAAGTGAGAAGCCGTTGTGACCCACCTGTTGTATTCAGGCAGGACTGAAGCGTGGTCATTGATCAGCAGATCTTTCACTTGGGTTAAAATGGCATATTTCCAGTTGTCCAGTACCTGGGTCAAATTGGAGCAAGTCTTGCCATTGGTGTGTCCTGCTGAAGACAGAAATGTAGAGGAGGAGATAATATTCATCCTGATCTTTCCAAACAGAATCTTAATTTGAGTGTTTGGTTTTTTAAACAATACTTTATTTAGGATTCACAAATTGAGGAAAACCGAAATTGACCACAGATTCCTGACCTTTAGAGTCCCAACGTGAGGTTTCCTGCTTCCATTTCTGAGCTCTGCATGTTAAGATCATGCAGAGCATTACCACAATCCTCTTCATCATCACCTATCAACAAAATTCAAAATTCAAAAAATACAAGGTTTGCGTTCTATTGGGAAACAGGTATGAAAGCAGTGGTGAAATCCAACTATGTGCATCCACTCAATTACATTTATGTGTTTACCATTTTCTAGTTATAAGTTACATTTTATTAAAACACAAAAGAAACACTGGAAATGCTTGTATAATCTGCAGCACTAAACTTGTAATCTACCCTGAGCTATAAATAATCATAAATACCCACGCACAATACTCAATACACAATAATATTACACTTCTGCATTATAAGTACTTTTATTTTGAGTGACATTAATGGAGTATTCTACGATTCTACTTTTAACTATCTGAGTAAATCTTACATCACAGAAAAGTGATGCCAGGTAGTAAGAACACATGCCTAACACACTTCTCAAAAGAATCTCTCACACAAAAAAGTGTTTGTCCATACATATTCTGAGCATAATTTGAGAGAAATAATTCTACTTTGATCGATTTACACTTAGAATGTCTCTTGTTTGGGTTTTACTATACCTTTCTTTGAAGTAGTGAAGGGGTATTTTCCAGTCAACAGCAAATAACAGCAGGAGATCACACTCTGTGCTACAGTCCTTCAACAGGGACACACTGAGAGAACATGACCTGGGTAGCGCTCACTTATAACGGCCTCCCTCGTCTTCCAGAGCCGTTCCCCCACCTGCTCCCACCCACTTCAGTGGAGCAATGAAGACACACGTGTCGTGCTTTACACTTTTCCGATGTGTCTTGCAGACCTCTGGATCTGCTACAATGATAAATAACCCATAGACCCTGAATGGGGGGTCCTGATAATCTCCTATTTATGCTTCCTTTATCCTCTGCATGTCTTGTAGCTGCTGTGTGTGGTTTAGGGCAACTGCACTCCCTAAACTCTAATCCTGAGGAAGTGTTTGATGTAGCGGTACGTCTCCAATATAGCATTCTTACTGCCTACTGTAATATAATCTGCTCAACATCTGGTCTGACGCAATGGTCCCTTTAACTGTCAGGGAAGATCAAAACCCAGAGACACACATGCACTTGATGAAGCTGAGAATAAGGGAATGAAACCTCTTTTTTAAAATATTTGACTGAATAAATACGAAACGGTGTAAATATACAGCCCCTGAGAGATTCCCTCACAACACAACTGCTGACATATCCCTAATTCAAATAAGCTGCTGTATGATTTACTGCATCAGTTCAATCAGTTTGACATTAATCTACCCCTGATGCGTCTAGATAATTTATGTGGCAATGATCTAAATGCTGATGGAGGAAAGATATATATTATTTCGACAGATTAAGCAGACATATGCAACTGTACTCCAAATAAGCATAGAAATATCAATCACCAAAGAACATTTTGATCCATTTGTTATTTTGTTTTAACCCACACAAGGCAAAGGATAGCTTTTACTTAACTGATCTGAAATGAATTTTGTCACAAGAATTTCTACTCTGATCCACTCCAGATCAGCTCGTATTTCCATTAAAAAGATGGATAATGCTCTTGCATCCTGTGCTGATGTGTACAGTCAGTATTGATATATTGTGAAAAGAGTCGAGCAAATCATGGCTAGAAAGGAATCTGACTGGGCAATGGTCCCTGCCATCTGCACCAAGTTTAATCCCACAGAGCAAAAATACTTCACTGCCTGCTGTCAATAGGATAAATATCATCCATGTATCTTCAGTGCTGACAATATTACAGAATGAGTTGGATTTCATTCAAAGTGTGGGAACTGAATGCCCTTTGAATCCTTTCACCCCAAACGATTTATAAACAGTGTAACAGGATTTGTGAGATTTGTTAAAGACATACTCAACTGGTAATCCATTCTCTCAGCAAGTAACAATAAATTGAGATTTAGTCAAAAAATAATTGTCCTTTCAGTATATCTACAATATATGCTAGTAATTGTTTATGTTTTGATTGCCAATTCTCATTGATTTTCTTCTACAATATATTAAAATGTGTAAAAGCAGAGAGAAATGTGTGCAGATTAACCACGCAGTGTATACTTATCAATCAATCAAAGCTTATTTATACTGTAGCCCAATTTTACAGATTTTACATTTATCTCAGGGGGGTTTAGAGTTTATACAGAACACGAAAACGACACCCATTAATGTTGAATAGGTTGGGTAGATAATGTTGGACAATAACCCATAGTTTTGATTGTACATTTTCATGAATAACTGTAAAACAGTTCAACTACAGCTGTCAGATACATGTTATAGAATAGCATATTTGCCTAAGATATCGAATGAACTAGAAGCATACAGTACCATCAAATGTAGTATTACAAATATCTAGAGCAAATGGACATAGTTTTCCACCGGTGTATCTGTAAATCATTGATTACAGGTGATATATGGCTATGGACAATCTTGCACTAATGTACATTTCCAAAGATATTGAAGTGACTGTTATTTTGTATTTATTGTTGTGGTTTTTTTTTTATCTTAATGTGTGCACATGTACAAATGTGTCTGTTGATTGTGTATATATAGGATATACATATTTTATACATATCTTTATACATATTTGTATTTTTATATTCAGGATTGTGGGAAACGGTATTTTGATCTCTCTGTCTGTACACACAAACTGAAAGATTGACATTAAAGTTGACTTTGACTTTGATATGTATCTGCAGACCCACCAACATACACATTATTCTGAAAATCTCAAGAAGGCAAAACTCTTGTAAGCTCCTTGGGTGTAAAGTTTTACAAACTATCCACTAAGTTATCTGGAAGCTCAGATTGTTTTTCAGTTTTTGCACATTTATATGGAAACAGCAGCACTGATGTCCAGCTTTATTAGCCTTCGAGCCCCATCTGTCAGGCTCCCTCTGCAGCAGCTGACCTCCTTCCAGCTCTGTGCAGCTCGTCCAGCACAGCCAGAGGAAAGAATGACAGCAGCTGACCTGTAGAGCCAGATAGTGAGATAACCAGGCCTCCCAATTTCTGTTTTTTAACTCACTTCAGATTTTCTCTTGCTGCTTGTTATTGAGTCACAGTAGCATATAATTTCAAAACGACTTTATCCGAGGATGGTTGAACTGTATCTGCACTTATATTCAAAGACTGATGCAATACAGAAGGTGTACCACAAGGATGTTTACCTTGATGTGTCTTAGTGAGTCACGTGACTGCAGGTATCTAAGGGTAAAGCAGAGGACAAATCTGTGCTGTAGGCAGTTGTTACCTCATTTTACTTGTGAAAAATTATCCTTTTGCTGCTGTTTCTTTTTATTGTTTTTAAAGATCTCCCCTCATATAGATGTATGTTATGTATCTGCCATGAGACCTTGTGTAGTTGACAGTTGGCCTGATTGCCTTCAGTTACTCTAAGACGTTCATTGGCTTGTAGTGGTCACAGTGAGTAACTGTAACATTACATTTGTGATTAACAGCATTTTAATTATCAGTATAAATGGTTTCAAAATCAGCATGTGCAAATGATTATTAAAATGATTATCAGAAATTAATCACATTTACATCAGTACTGACAATAGCTGTTTTAAATAGCCTGAATCACTTTCTCTCATAAAAGAAAGGAGCTGTTTAAAAGCAAAACTGCAGCCATGAGCTGTGCTGAGAAAAGTTTAATCTTACTCGTAATAGCACATTTCTGTTTTGGTATAGCTTTCTGCTGTTTTTCTTTCCTTTTGATTGAATGCAGAACAATCTGGGTTCTTTTCACTCTGCTGAGCTATTTAGTGGAACTCTACACATTCATTAATATGCTTTTGTAATGAAGCATTTAAACAGAAAACCTTTGACCAAATTTGCGCACATGAGAAAAAGAAGGAATATATGAATGGTTAGAAAAATAAATGTAATTAATCAATCTAGAGCTGCACTTTAGTGGTATTAATGGTTGCAAAGTTGGTTAAAATGTGTAAATGCAAAGACAATAACATTCTTTGCTCGCAGTTCTTAAATATGATTCATTCAAGTGTGTGTTTCGTTTGTTTATGCTAATTCTTAGTGGGTTTTTTTTATCTACATTGCAGATCTACATTTTTTACATTTTTCTATCAGCTTCTGAATGTATTTGATACATCCAGAAGCTGATAGAAAAATGTAAAAATTACATAACACCTTGCCATTTGTGTGGTTTGTGTGAGTAAACATCAAAAGTCTCTTGTTCTGGACCCACTCGTGTGTGTGTGAGTCCCTCACATGCTTTGATAACCGTCTAATCCCCTCACTGTGACTCTCACATGATGAAGAAATCCCACAGCTAGCAGCCAGAGGCTAAACACTGCATGGTTTCTCCACCTCAGCTCACATGCTCCTCTGTTCCTACTGTAGTGAATTCTCCCCCAAATGCTCAACTTTAGCTTGTGTCATTCTGACCAGCTAAAAGCACAGGGAGAATCATCTCTAACATGAGGAGATATTTGGGGCTAAAAAGGATTTTTTTGCCGTGGTCGAGGAGGGACACCACGCAGAATGAGTCCAGTCCACTAATACCAAAGGTAAGGAGTCACTTACGTTAGTTCCTTTCTGAATATTGAGTACCTTGATATGTAGATAAAGGCTTGAGGCTGCATTATCCTCAACAAAAATGGTATTATATTTATTTGCCTGTTTGTTCAAAGGCAAGCTCTGCAAAAGAGGACGACGAGGAGCGTGACAATGTTGGACCAGACAATCGACAGGACGACAGCCGTGTATTAATAAGCAACCAACCCCACTACAGATATTCTTTTACGGACTATTTCCTCAAATATTTCCTGTTCCTATGTAATCTGGTGTTCACAGTTCTGGGTCTGGTGGTTCTTGGCCTGGGGATGTGGGGCCTCATCAGCAAAGAGTCGTTTGCTCAGGAGAAGATCGGCAGTATCGGCACTGACCCAATGCTGATTCTTGTGTCTCTCGGCTTTGTGCTGACCCTGCTCTGCTTGTCAGGCTGTTTGGGCGCCTTGAGAGAGAACTGCTCATTACTGAAGCTGTTCTCTGCCACGGTGCTGGCACTCATCACAGCCCAGGTGCTGGCTGGCATTGTCGCCTACAGTCTACAAGATCAGGTCGGAAGCTATCTGCGCTCAGGGATGTTAGCTGCCATGGTGCACTACCAGGATGACCTGGATCTGAGGTTCATCGCGGACGAGATTCAGACAAATCTTCAATGCTGTGGGGCAGATAACTACCATGACTGGGAACTCAACATGTGAGTAGAGGGTGACTAACTTGGGGAAACAAGTTCATTAGGAGTATGTCATGAACTTTTTTGTCCTGATGTTGGTATGCTTTGAAAATAATTGGACATTTTGACTTTTCCTCAGATATTACAACTGCTCAGCTCCAGGAGTGCTGGCCTGTGGCGTCCCTGCGACATGCTGTGTGGATCCTTTGGAGAATGGCACAGTGTGGAACTCTCAGTGTGGTTTAGGAGCCCAGCTGCTGGATGAGTTCAGTGCTCAGAGTGTGATCTTCCTGGGCGGCTGTCTGGGGGGAATGTCGCGCTGGATTGAGCAGCACGAGGGCCTGATAGGCACAGTTGGAATAGTTGTAATAGGAGTCCAGATTCTGACTCTGTTTATCTCTACACGACTGTTAGAAAGTATCCAGTGGCATAAAATGTACATGTAATATGATAACTGTATTGTGTGCTTTTTTTATGTGTCCTGCTTTTGGATCTCCACTTTGTTTCTCATTTGTAGTAAATATACTCTATCCCCGAAACCACTGGTTCCGAAATGTGAGTGTCGGGACCCCAACAACGGGTTGCAAAGCTTCACAGAGAGGCCTTCTTGATTTCAATAGTTGTCAGACAACTTTAGAGGAACTTCACCCCAAATTCCTCCTGTGGGGATTGTCCACAGTATTGAGTATGTAAGTCGCTTTGGATAAAAGCGTCTAACAAGTGACATGTAATGTAATGTCTCAGGATTTCATTTACTGTTGTTGTGAAAACTAAATTATACAGTTATTTATCAAGTTGAAATACATTTTAAGATATACACTTAAAGATATCACAGGATAAGGGAACGGTAAGACTTGAACACAAGCTGCTATATTTACAGAAGGTTCCCTCTCTGCTAAACAGCCATGTACTGCATTAGAAAAGTACACATTTAAAACCTGTTTACCTCTGCAATTCTTTTGTGCTAATCTATCTTGCTGCATACGACCAAAAATGCCAAACTATTCCAAACTATTGTGGTGAATTCACAGGAACAGCACAACATTCAATGAAACCCAATCATGTCATGCTGACAAAACAGCATTGTTTATTATTACATTTAGATGGAGGCAAAGAAATACATTTAAAAAATGCACTTTTTTAAATCCAAGCTTTGTAGTGAGACACATTCAGCATCAGAAATTAAAATGGCAGTTTAAGAGTCTAAAAATAAAATATACTTTAACATAAAAAAACACTTAGGCGGAGAACAGTATCTTAAATATGTAGACATCTTTAACACGTTCATTTAGTTTGTGGTTTACATTAAAACAGCTAATTTGATGATCTAGATGGGTAAATATATAAGAAATAAATTCTCAATGAAGAGACTATACCATATTGAGCCAGTTCCTGTAGGTCAAGATGGCTGTATGCTTCCCATGGGCAGATTATGGTGAAATCTAAGGAAGGACAAATCGCGAGTCAGCAAAATTAAGTGACGTGTGATTTGTGTGTACTTTTCGGTGATGCAGGGGCCAAACAAGGATGCTCATGCTTTCCAGTGCCAAGCCTTTAATTCCTGGGATCTCTACTCCAAAGCTGGGAGGGAAAAAATCACAAGTTTAATTGTGGGGAGTTTTACAAAAGAAACACTTTTTAGATAGTGCTAGTGAAAATGCACTGTAGGCCTATACCCAATGACGCTTACCCTCTGCTCTTTGGGCTAGGCTGCCATTCTTCAATTCAGGATTGTCCACTTTCAAATTCATACTTTTGTTGTTTGAGCCAAGTGTCATCATAATGATTAAAGGCATGAACATATCAAGTTGAAATACATTCAAGACATACATCCCCTTCCACAGCTCTGTATTTAGCTGTGCCATTAGAGAAACTGATATAAAATGAACATTATACTGTGCTTACAAACACACTTATTATCGGTAGGAACACAGACTTGTGTACAGACGATGAAGATTTATGTAATCCCACAACTGTCTCCATGATACCTTTGGGTTTAACAGCAGCTTCATAATCACATTACTGTGAGGACATGCTGAATTTGCAACTTAATACAATGCTCTGTCGTAAATTCTACCTTTACAAATTATATAATGTTCAGGTTTTTGAGTCGTCAGAAATCCTTTGATATGTTTAATACCGAGGTCATAATTAAAGGGGATTTACATTAAGCTGACTTTAACATCTTAAAAGGTGTTTCCTAAATGTTGTATGTGGTAATCCACATACTTTATACTGAAAACCATGTATAAACTCAGGAGTGCTTATGCTGCTGGAAAACAAGGCTCCCTGTTTGCCACGTTTGATCAATGCTCAGGGACAAAATGCTAAATGAGCTACAACGTGCAGAACAAACAGCTGACTGCTTCAACTAATGATATTTGATCATCATAATTTACAGTTGGTTAATGGTTGTTCTTGATTAATGGAATCTATCAAATATAAAACTATAAGTAGGTAGGCCTATACGCTATCATAATCCCCAAAACCCAAAGGTGACATCTAGAGAGCACCTCAGGGCATTTGCTTAAATACTGTACTAAAGTGAGTCTGAGCTAAGTATTACTTACTTAAGTGTTTTCATTTTATGCTAAGTTATAGTAGCGGTCTTTGTAGTATTATGTGGACAAAATAGAACAACGACGCCATCTAGTGCTGACAGACTGAATCCAGCTGACATATTAACCAGGATGACTTTTCCCGCAAAGATCGTTTATTTGTTAGTGCTTGCCTCCAAGATAAATGTATTTCACTAGGCTGGAATGAGTTGTCGTATCTGTTAAATTGATGTGGAAATGTCCGGTGTCTTTTTGTATTTTTTTCGTAACCTCAACACAGTTTCATAAGTAATTTAACGACATTTAAGAAAATCCATCATACAGGCAAAACGTCAGGTATCGGTGTAGGTGAAAAAAAGAAATGGAATGTGCTCCTCTGTGAAAACAAAACCTAAAAAAAACAACAGCAAAACCTCAATAACAGTGAAAGGAACATATCAATTCACGGGAGGGAAGCGTTTTTATATTTTTCGTATTGCAGAGAAGGAAACGACCAAGGTATCGGGAAAAGTGTATGGAGTGGGAGCTCTTTTACTTCCTGTCGCCTGAAGTCGAGGTTCGTAGGTTAAAGGTTAACACACGCTCTTCCACACGTGTTATTGTTTTGTGAAGATACTTCGTAATGCTTTGAAACAAAGTGCATTATCATGGGGAAAAATAAGAAGAACACAACTAACGAGTCAGGAAAGCAAGTGGGAAAGGCCGAAAAACATTCAAGGTAACGTAAAAATGGCTGTTGTGTTACAGAAACAATGCTAGCTAGCTACATTAGCTAGCTGTCTACGAGATTCAACTTGTCAACATCATTCTCGTATTCATTTGAGGACACGTACCTGCGTTGTGTATGGCTTGCAGATGTTAACTTTTATTCGTTTCTTTTCCTACATGATACCCTGGACTGTAACATGTTATAACAGTGATAATAAGCTCAAACGAGATGGCAAACCTAAGAAAATCAAACGAGACCACATCGAGCACATCCCCTTTAAGCTCCGGGAGATCATGAAAAACAAGCAGATAATGAAAACGGGGAAATTGAAGGTCAAAAAGCCCAAAGAGAGTGAGTTACAAGCTTCATATTCTGTTATACATACGTTAACATTACTCATATTTATAACTAGTGAACAATGTATTTTGGTTTTTTTCCATCTTTCTTTTGCACATTTCTGCACACATGTCTGCACAGCCCTCCACTTTTATATATAATACATAGTAGTTTACCATATGTGTTCATATATTCATTTTCCTAAGTAATTTAGCTTTTAAGGTTCTTTTGTATATTTAAATATAAATGTTCTCAATGCTAAATAGTTTCTTTTTATTTTCGTTATATTTTTGACCATTTACAACTTATTTTCTTAGATTGTTTGTTTTTTGTTTTTTTTATTCTTTAACTTTTTACATTTTTAATGCTATTTTATTTCTATTTCTGAAATATTTTGGACTGTTTATTTCTTGTGTCTTAATTTCTCTTATGTACATTACCTTGTGTTTTTTTATGCTGCTGCAACACAAACATTTCCCGAATTGGGATCAATAAAGTACCTACCTACCAATCTATCTATCTATCTATCTATCTTGCACCACCAGACACCAAAGGAAATTCCTTGTATGTGTAACTGTACCTGGCAATACACTTGATTCTGATTCTGATCTACCCTAAAGGTAAACCAGAGGATCCCAAAAGTGGAGACATACCTGTCCCACATTTCAAGAGGGGGAAGTGCGAGAGTGTGAAAGCCTATGTGCGGCGCATGGAGACTGAGACCAAACATGTCCTCTTCCTCACCAAGAACCAAGTCGAAAGAAAGCCTGAGCTGGCTGCCAACAAACAAGAGAGGCCTGCGGACGGGGGCAAGTCTGAGAAAAAGAAGGAGTGAGTACACTTTGATTTGTAATAAGTTAAGTAGATGATATATATTGTCTGTGCTGATATTGGACATTAAATAATGAAGGGTAAAGCCAACTGAGTTGATTAAACCCTATCCTCCTTGAGGTTATGTCTTCTTTGATTTTGTGTATCTAATATTTCAAGTGCAACACAAATGCACCCCTGGCTCAACATACTTATGTATTTTGTTCCAGTTTTATTTACTGTACAAGTGTAATATATTTGCATTATCTAAGTTCAAATTCAACTGAAATGAAAATGTTAACAGTAAATTGCAATGAAATGGACCTACTCTGCATTTAAAAGTGATTTTAATTCATGAGTGATACATGTCTAATGTATGTGATCTTCTGTGCTGTCTTTGCTCCAGACATGATACGGTCAGATTACAGAGGCTACAGAACAGAAAGTTGGATAAACAAGTGGACAGGATGGAAAAAGAGATGTTCGTTGGTAAGAATAATCTGGGGGAGCGGTTTATCTTCTGTAATTCCCAACAAGCATGCACTGACCCAGTATGAGGTGCATTCAACATCATCAGGATCCACATCTGCAGTTTGACTGGGTTTTTAGTGGCGTGTTTCCTAAAAACCTGTTGCTTTAGATTCTGCATGTTGATCAGAAAAGTTTATTGTACCTAAGTTTTTCAGTAATATCTTGCTAAGACAGAAGGATATATTCTCAAGCGTGTCAGTCAGTCACTTTGAGGTCAGACATTTTGAATTTGCTGAATTGTCCTATAGTCATTTTGGGAAAGTCAAGACACCGGCAATATTCCACTCTGCTGGAAAGGAAGCATCCTATTTTGGAAGTTTTGTATGGATAACTAATTATTTACTTTTTTAAATCAAACTTAAAGGGAACAGATTTTTTTTTTAAGCGCACTTTAAACGATTACCACTCTTTACAGACTTTACCCAGCTCTACTAAGCTTTAAATTGTCTATTTTTAATCATTGTTTCAATTTTGTAGCCAACAATTCTTCTCGCACTAATGT